TATACTCGTGCTGAGTATCTTTAGCAGGAAGAGCAAGCGTGACAAAACCAAATCTGGCAGACTTGCGTGAAGATGACATTTGAGCGTGACATTGCTAGACGGATTCCGCTTCCTGGAATGGATCGCCAGGACGTTGATTGTCACTGGTTAGAATCACTCAGGGGTGTGGCCCAGAACCAAATTCGCACAAAAGTAATGTAGCAACCAAAAAGGATTAAACTAAATACGAAACCATATGCATAAATTAGAACAGGTAGAAGTTCTCTGCCACTAAGACTGCCCGTGAGCCTTGTTCAGGGCCGATTTTACAGAGCCTGGCAAACTGGAAACGCTGACTGTGACTGTTATTTCTACCTTCCCAACTCTGACACATTTTATTCTCGAGGGCATTCAATAACAGCGACCAAGATGTAACTCACGCATAAGTAGATCTTGACAATCCTGGAATCGGTCAATATTCCTGATTTTTCTCCTGCTGTTCGTCCTCTGAATGAAATTTCAGGAATAGTGGGCAGACTTACAACGTTCGTGATGTTGTTTTGCACCCAATAACCTTCCATGGTCCCGGAATATATCACTGGGTGAGATTTGCTTTTAAACCGCTGTTTCTCAATTTTAACTGATCCTTCTCAAGATTCCCTGATGTAAATAGTCAACACATATGTGTTGGGGAAATTTCTTGTTCCATAAAGTAGTGATTCTTCTCCTGATAAGTGAGAAATAGGAAAGCGAATGAACCTCTGTGGTGAGTCTGGAACTCCGCACTAGTTTGCGGACGAGTAAACAAGCGATATACGTTGATTATGTAGTATCGTAACTAGAAAAGTTCGGAACATTAACTGCCCGGGAGTTAGTCCTATGAGAGTAGCTTTGATTAAAATTAAGTGAATATTAAGCCTCCAATAAACCCTATTGAAAGACTCGGCAGCAGCTGATTAGTGTGCTGCTTTTGGAAAACAGTCTGCTAAGTGCACTGTGATCCTTATTGTTCGCCTGAATCTCAACGACTCGAGAGGAAACTTTCCACTGTTGCCGGTTAATGACGAGTTTCCGCATCAGCCGACGGGTCTGTGAGGATAGATTAAGCAAATTTGATGAAGCGAGTGATCGTTCCCCGGATCGTTTCAACTTTACCGCATACACGTCTCGGTTCGGTTGCACAACCCGTGGCATACCAACAAAAAAGATAGCAAGAATTAGGTTGGTATCCGCACATACCTACACACAAATGTAGCAACATACACAAGCTAAGTTTCGTTGTTGATGCCGCGCCGCTCAATCCTCTGCCCTCTGTCGTTCGATTGTCCTTAGGTATTGATGCTGAAGGGTGGCCATTACAATTGTGACTCACTTAACTTTTCCCCTATCTACGCTGGACCTGAAAACCTGTCCGTTATCGGCGGTTGAAATGGGAGCGTTTTCGCAGTTTTGGGGGGACTTTCGAGAATTATTACGTTTATTCTGTGGTTTGGGATAACCAAATGGACAAATAAAGGCTAGTTATTCTGGAAAGGGAGCCAGTGAAGTGTATGTTTCGAAGCATAGTAATTAGATAGCTTATCATAGGGTCTGAGTCAAGACACTATAGATGCCTCTAGTTGAATAAAACACCAAGGAACCTGAAGAATTTTTATTTCATATTTGTTACCCGTCTGGGTTAGTTACAGGCTTCTTAATATAAGATTTTTTCTACAACATTCCTATCGATCATTCTTTCCATATGTGATTTTTCTCGAAGAGAATTCTTTACATGCCACCGCGTCTTTGTTTGAGTGAAAGCGAAGCCGTGATCATTACCACTCTTAATAAACCAACTCCAACATGATAGTCTGTGAAGAAACGTCTCGTACTCCAACTTTTTGGATGACGGTCGTTGAGCGTACAGAAGATTCGATACATGTAGTTGTTGAGATATTTGTGTTGGTCCGCAGTTTCTGTGTGTCCGAATGCGTCGGTGGATAATTGATCATATGTCGAACTTACAGTTATCGATTTCCCAATGTGGCTGAAGAGCACATTTGAACCTCAGGTTAACTACAGCCGACTGGGACCATTACGTGGGCAGACTGGTAGATAGAAAACTAACAAAACGACGAGTCGCGACCTTTCAATACAGGAGGACTTATTGAACCAGCTTATCCGTTAATCCGAAGTGGTATCGCACACTCATTCAACATTTTTTTCGGTTACCCGCATTCCGAAAGACAAACCTGTCCATGCGGAGGAACTGAAAAACCACGGTTTGACGAATCGAGTTGGACGGTATTTTAAGCCAAGGCTGACATCCGAGCTGGACGTCAGTATACCCGACAGAAAAACAAACTTTTAACCATCCCAGCTAACAACGGTTGTTCGCATGCACGTATGCCATTTACAAAGCAGTTGATCATCATCGACCAGTCAGCACACGAAAGGAGGTGAAATGCACAGATTAAGGCACAGTACTATCTCTCTCAAGAAGGCACTTCAATAGGGAGAAAAAAGCTTTTTCGCTGCGGTAAGGAGACGATTCCATGTTGTCCACCTGACTAATTTACTTCCTACCAGGAAGTTGTGGTGTTATTTGCCAATTGATCTGACCGTCAAACTGGCTATCTTTATAAGCAACTCATGTCATAAATATACTCGCCTACATATTTCGATGGTGACAGTGAGCTCCTCTTCATTTGTTTCGGTTAGATCGACAGTTTAACCCGAAATACAAGCACGATATCGTTCGTTGGATCAGACTGAACAGAATGCAGCTGGAACGTAGGTTGATGTAACGTACAATAGTTTTGTGTATGGATTTCTCAAGGATAAATGTTGTTTCGACCTACTACTAAAATAAGTCTTCCTATAACCGTTTCATCCTTTCACAGTTCTTCCAAAGATAGGCAACATAACACCATTCATTCTAGGTGAACCAGCCAGATTGATCCGCTTTTTGCATGTCTCGGCGTCGCATATGCTGTAGAGTCAAACCCTAAGAGAACTTTTAGCCTTAGTGAAGAATCCTGTCATCCTTCCGAGAAATCTGTTTAACACATTAGGACAACTGAATTTCCACGACCAGGATGTGTGAGCTACCCTGGTTACGAACATCCCTGCGTGTCTAGTAAACGTTTGTTTATGGTGCGTAGTTTTTTTGACACAAAGTGTCCTTTAGCCCCATGCACACCGTGTCATTGTAAATAAATTGGTTAAGCGTTCAGACTCGTAACTTCAGGTCCCCGGTGATTCAACATAGCCACCACTGATGATCCGCAATATGGGCTAAATTGTTACGCGCTGCGTAGTTGAATACGAGTCTGCACTTCTTGAAAACTGGACTTCCATTTGGGTCGTGTTATGCATTTACTTTGACGGAAGTAGACCACAAATAGAACACAAGGTTGACGGAAACTCGGGCACCGCGCTTTCCTGATGAGCCCCAAGAAGGTTGAAACCGGTCGTGGGCTGTCGAAGAGTTTTCAGCAAACTTATGAGTAGTGTATTACGTCTATACGAACGAATCGCTCGGATTGACTTCACTTGATCGCCATCGTTATGGAGCCAAGAATCCTGAAATGTAACGAAACTACGGAAGTGGTAATGACTTTCATGGCATTATTCCAGGTGAAAGCCCAGCTCCATGGGGAAACCCAGTCATCCCTAATTACACCTTTTGCTAATTTGATTAGGGTGGATTTATCATAGCTTTCGTGAACAGAGATCGCCTCAGTCTGTTCTGCTTGTAGTTGTTCGAGACCAACAAATTATTTGGAAGCCACTGGAGGAGATAGGTGATCATTTATTCTATATCAAAATACTCCGAATGTACACACGTCATCACGCCGGGATTACTTGGACGATCTACGTCTCAGGCGTTTTGATTTCACTTAATTCACATAAAGTAAACTTATTGTTGGAATGGCTGTTTCCAGATTGTGCTCAGTTATTGTGGGTTTTTCGTGATTTAGCCATCGTTTTTATTAAATAAGATGTCGCCCACCGACCGCTTGTGCGTCATATTCGTGTGTACCTTTTACGCACTCTTGAAGGGTTTGTATAATTTCCCGACTTTCTGTGTGGTTTAAAGAAGGACTAGATTGTAACCTTTCGTTAAGACTATGTTGTCGATAAGTTTTCTACACCGAATCGGTAATGCTATGGGAGTATTTGAAGCTCTGAAATTGGTGTTTGGTTATTCGAAATCATCGTGGGTTCAAAACGACAAGACTGATGCATTGCAACAGTCACTTTCGTCCCTTGGTTGTACAGTGTCATTGTGATACCGAATTCACCATTTTCATTGAGACTGTTTCCCAAGGCGCCGATTTTTTGTCGCCCAAAATTTTTCGGTTTTCGCGTCGCCACACACCTAATATAACAACTCAGTTGTCAGTGTGTAGTTAGGTTGATTGGTTAATGTTCACCTAACCAGTAAGCACTCAGTCGGTATTTCATTGGCTGGCAACCTTGATGTATTGGCATTTGTTCCAAAGGTTAAACTGAGAACGCACTTTTGTGGACCTTAAATTCCGTAAGTGTGCCAAATTGCTTAAATTTGTTGACATTGTTCATTTTCATAATTGTGAGGAATGTACAATGTTTTATCTACGCCATTTTTCATGTTGCTGATATTCTTAAGAACGGGCATTTGCCTCATACACTAGTGACTGGTGTTTTTGAGCCACGGATAAATACCTTAGATTTGTTTGTCCCCTTCATAGAAGGCTGTTTACAGGACGTTCCCTTTCTGGAAATATTTTTGCTTTGGGGAGATAGTACGGGTAACACACTGTGCATTCTTGTGTACTTGTGATATTTTCGGATGCTGTCGGATGCTGTTTCTATAGTCGATATATAAACATACATGTCACTAACCATTTTGCGTTGGAATTGAGTTTCATGATGCTTTCGTTGAAAGGGACAACGTCTGAAAGTGATTTTCTTGCTGGAAACCCCAGCTGTTTTTCCCATGGCTGTGGCTGCACTCATCGATACGTTTGTTCACTCTCTCACTCTCTTTATTTCAGTTATCCATGCCCAACATGGATGATTTTATCGAAGAATGCCTTCGTGAACATAATGCCAAACGTGAATTACACGGTGCTCCAGCTTTGAAACATAGTAGAGCACTTGACAAAACTGCCCAGGATTGGGCCGAAGCTCTGATCTCTGAGCCGGCCATCAAAAACAGCCCGTTATCTAGCCGTGGCGAGGTTGGTGAGAGCATCAGCATGCGAACTAGCTCGGCAAGTCATGTTGATATTCAAGGTATTCCGCGTTACACTTTTTATCAATCCGTTTCACACACCAGGAAACGAAGTGGTAAATCAATGGTACGCGGACATAAAGAATTACAACTTTACTGAAGGCAAAGGTCCAGCGGGTGAGCTATAATATTGTATTAGGGCTTTCGTATATCTATGACCCCCATGTTTTGACCTTCAGACACATTTTTTAGTCTGCCGCAGCATTTACTTCAGAAGGACAATTTGTATTCGTTATAGCTTCTGACAACTGTTCCATTTTGTCTGGCGAATTTTTTTTACAAAGTAACAAACTGAGTCTAAATATTTTTCTGTAGAGTTAATCGTGTCTCAGCTTCTTTGTAACACTCGGTGCGAGGACAACAGCAGAGTTACTTGTTCTGATTGCGTCTGTTCAAACATTATATATATAATATAACCTTGTCTCTGCTATCGCCGTTTGTCTTCTTTTCTAGCCGAATCCGCCCAAACTCATTTTCTTTAAAAATACTCATATGCACTTGGTAAAACATTAATAACATGGCTGACGAAAACTTTTCGACACTCCACTATTTCGTACTAGAACACCAGATTAATCGCTTATGGAGTTAATTACTCGTTTTTAAGCCAAGACTGTGTTAACGCGAATATTCAGTTCATTTGCTACTTAATCGGATGTGCTACACGAACACCTCTTCATGGTTCAGGTGGTTAGCTTGTTCAAGTTATTTCTTGGATATGATAATACCTGTAATCCTCCATAGCTCTCTATTAGTTCCACCATTTCGGGGCTCCTCTTAAGACGTAGTTTTTATCGGTCAGCTTTATTATCTCAAGGAGAAACCGACCTTTTGATTGTCACCCCAACCGAACGACTGGGGGAATATATGATACATTTGCGGAATTTCAAGTTGCCAGACTCGTTCCATTCTCATGTCTGCACTCCCCGGTGCTACTCTCAGACAGTTGCCTTGGGTTTCTCTTTTCAACTCCATTTTCTCATCCACGGTTTGTTCCTCATGTGTTTCGTCGCAAAGTTTTCCTTCACTACACGTTCTCTGTTTGCTGTTTGAAATTTGCATCAGTTGAAACCCTGTAGTTAAGCTGACTGTACTAAGTCCCGTTGAAATCCAAATATGCGGGCGCTTTTAGAACCGTCTTGTTCTTCAAGGTGGTCAAAATAACACCCTGGCTTCTGTCTGATATCTATCTTGTGTTTGTCAAAAGTGCCTGATAAGTGAAGGACTTAATTTTTTATGTGGTATCTTAGTGATCAATAATTTTCATCAAACTGTTATTGCGTTTCCTAATTCCCTTGCTTTGTACTGCTCCTGTCAGGTAATTTCACTCAGTTGGTTTGGAAAGCAACACGTGAGGTCGGATTCGGGAAGGCACGGTCTTCTGGGAAGTGTATTGTCGTCGCGCATTACCGACCACCGGGCAATGTTAGAGGACACTATGCAGAGAATGTTGGTGCCCCGACTGGCGGCGAAGCAGCCTCGGTAGCCAGTGCAACTGACACAGCGAAACTGGACCCTGGTACGTCCAATTCATCTTTCTGTTTCCTGCAGTTTCCGTAGTCCCATGTTCCAGTTTCATGCAACACTCTGTTAGGTTGAATTCAGTTCGTTGTTCCATATGAAGGTGCCAACCAACTAGTTTCATGTTCTGCCAGTGGAGATATTCAAAGATGGATGGACGTACTCTATGTGCCAATCGGGCTACCGAGTCTGATCGGTTTATAAGGCTTCCGTTAAAACGAAATGACTTACCAACACAGAAATTTATGTGATCTCTATGAGTGTTAAGTCAGTTGGACTACAGAAATCGTTTCCCAGTCTACCTGCCACAGCGGGATGTTCGTGGGGAAGGCGGCACAATCGATGCTGAACTTAAATATCTGTGTGTAGGGCTATTCCACTCAAATCGACATTCATAAGAGTGTGCAAAGAAAACAGTTCGCCTGTTAGTTCATACGAGTTAACTCATACGAGTTAACATTAATGAGCTGGTGGAGCAGTTTTTTGACCTCTAGTATTAACCGAAACTTCTACGCTGCCCAGTCTGCATTCCTCTACAACTACGACCCGCCGAACAGATGTATCAAAATACAGCCGGTATATCGTGCAGAATTTCATTTCTCTACGCTTCCAACTTGCCATGGTCGATCTTGCTTAAGAAGCAAGTCTCGGATACTGATTTTTTTCCACCCAAAGTCCGCTTTCACTATGAGCAGGGTTTGTTGAGTTAAACCGGCCGTTTCGAGGTGGCGATGATTTTTGGGTTCTGAGTAATCGGTGTAGCTATTTGGTCGCTGCAGCATACTGATCGTTTTATGGAAGCACGTTCCACACGGCGCTATACAGTAGACATGCGGTGGTACTGCCCGGTAAGATGTTATCGAGCTATTTTTATTTCAACTGAGACCAACGTGTTCTTGCTGATAAAATGATAGTCGGTACTTCCGTTATTTTCCCCATTAATTCGCTAAAAGTCGAATACCTTTAACCACCTAGCCCAACCCACGCGATATAAAGTTGGCTGTACCTAAATTAGTTACGACAAAGTGAATTGTTTGAAGTAACGTGGTACGATCCGTTTACAGCCTAATCAATTTTAGGAAACAAACGATTCGCTTAATGAATACGTAGGGTAACGTGTGAAAATATCGCCTTTCATTTTTTCCGTTGGCACATGGAAACTAGCTTGCAGGAAAGGGACTGCGTCTGAGGAGTTCAGATGTGTTGTGGCTGTCTCTCTTCAATAGAAGCTCACCGAACAACAGTCTGAGATGAATCAACCAAATGTCTCAAATGTATGTCTGGCTGAATTGATTAAGTGCCGATTACTCGAACACAGCAGCTAATGGACTGAGACAAACCAGGGCAGCCGAATTTATTTATAGGAACCTACGTGTGACTAAAATAAGTGTGACGTTCCAGAAACTCTGCAATCCTGCACCCAAATGATCACGTTTAGGTAGCTAGAACCAGGGTCTTCTTACAAAATCAAATGCATTGTCCTCTCCGCAGCATGTATATGGTTCGAAGAAATTACACTTGAGCTGAATCATATATTCCTTATACGATAATAGCTGCTGAAATATAGAGTTAACCGATAAGTCCATTTGGCATACAAAATCATGAGGACCTTTCTAATGTAGTCGGAGATATCCAACGTGGAAATGACCGGCATCTCATCCCACCTAAGTGGTTGGTTGTGTACAACTACCCGTGAAAGGAAGGCCTTCGGTGCGGAGTTATTTATTCGGAAATGCCAACTGACCGGTTACAGACCATTGAACAGGGAAGTGAAACTCTAATCTGCATCTTAGTTCCAAAAACTGGACACAGATCTTCTCCCGAACGAGTTTTCTTAGAGATTAGTTGCCTCCACTCATTCGTCGGTCAAATCCAAGCAAATGTTACAAAGTGGCCCCACGAATTCCGCAAGAGAATTCCCTTTTTCCATTGACGCAAAGCTTAATTCTACAAACAACACATACTACTCGCGTGCCTCCCGATCAGTAGTATCACCGTTACACCCGGACCAACGTTAGAAAGAACTTCCCTCTTTTTCATATCCCGTTTTCCATGGGTTCATTCTTTATTCAAGTCCTTTAAATGCAGCAAAGATATTCAGTGGATCATGAAAAAGAAATAGGTGGATTGTTTGTGCGAACGTCATGGTTGTTTATCCCATGCGCACACCTAAACTATTGGGCGAAACGACATGACTTAGAAACCTACTTAGTTGCCTAAAGTGGAAAGGCGAAAAATCGGAAGATGATGCCCCAGCAAGTTGCACTTTTTTAACCGCCTGATGGTTTAAAGACATGAATATGTAGTAAAGCTTCAGTCGGGAGGTTTCGCCATATACGTTTGCACAAGGATTCCTAATTGTCCGCTTGACTGACCTACTTTCTTAGGAGCTAGACGTACACTAATGTATTTTTACAGGAATAACCAATGTGTACAGGTGTGTTCAGCTGTTGATGGGAAACACAGGTCATCAAAGTTCCAACAGGTCCCGAAGCAGTCCTCCAAAGAGCTGGGTAGTATTTTGTTTGATTGTCGCAAAATGTTCCGAAGTACCGAAACCGTTTTGTTTTTTATAGTCGTCGCCCACTTGGAGTTTTGTTTTGACCGGACAAACACTGTTTTGTCCCCACGCAAATTTTCCGAAAAGTCAGCTTGTCCGCTAGTGAATTCATTCCTAACTTTCGTTGATTGCTTTGGGGCTGAGCTGATCGATACCGTGGTGCGAATGAGCTAGTCTAGTTTACCGGTTGTTTGTTCTTGATCACTTCTTAGTCCACACATATCCCATTTGTATGTTCTCTACTTTTAAATGGATGGTTTCGCGGTATTTGGCCTTAGTGTGCCCGCTGGTAGCTGTCCCCTAGACCCACTTCACGGTCAAGCACCATCGGATACTGGCCAATCAAGATCACCCCGAATCACCATGGTTAGCTGTTAAACAATCGGGGATACGGATCCCAATGACTGGTTGGGCCACTTACTCTGTTTCTAATCTATCCTTTATCCTTCCTGGTAGTTGGGTTAAAAGTATGAATGCACAACAGTCAGCTTTATTTTCCGACGAGGTTATATGTTTGCCAAGCCATTCATCCATCAGTAAAGCCCTTTCAGATGTGATGACAGGGGATTGCTCTTCTGTTGTGCCCGATCGACACAATGTCCAGTTAAACACTTATTTGAGAACCTAGGTGATGTGTTTACGTGAGACTTCAGTGATTCATTCGACAGCTGTACTCTTCTTCATGAGTATGAGCGCCTCAGGGTTTCTTTCTGTTTGGGTCTTATCCAGTGGGTGTACTGTTCAAATCCGTGTCTATCCTTGGTGAGCATCAAACGAGATAGACTAGTTGTCGATTGTTATCCATCAAAAGAGTGTCGTATGAGTGGAGACTAACCAACGTCAACTTGCAGTCGGATTTAGTCACCTTCTAAATCTGTGTGAAAATGTTAAGAGAAACGGTTATATTTTGTTATATCCTAACGATCACACTAGGTTGTTCTGCTTTCCAGTACGTCACTTGGAAAAAAAACCACTGCCGTGGTGACAGTCATTTGTAGGTGAATATCTGTCCACGCTAAAATTGTAGCTTCAAATGTTGACAGTACATCTGTTGTTTTTATGTTCGTTTCAAACATGAAAGAGAAACTCGTGTGAGATTAATTGCAGCTGTCTTATGAACCGTATACACCGCGAACGAACGCTAACCAATGTGCCCACATACCTTCCACTCGAGCCTTTTTTCTCTAGTGACGACTTTGGGTTCGATTGACGTCAAATACTTACCGTCGCCCTATTGTCGTCCTACGTAAACTCTGTCGGGTGTGCCAACTTATTGTTGACATAACATATGCACAAGTTGTTTCGCTTAGTTTTAAGGAAAAACTGTGCCGCCGTGACGGTTTTGGGTAGCGATTCCCTAATCATTTCGAATAATGCAGTCAGAACAACAAATTAGCGAGATGAATTCCCTTCGTACATTTTTGCCATCATAGGACGTGCAAAACTGCATACGAGAATCAATACGGTTTGTAGCATTTATGTATGTCTAAAACAGCGTGACCAATCAATAAAATGAGACAGTCAAGGATTAGCCGTTCGTCTTTCGGAACGCAGAGGACAAGTTTTAAAACGGTCATTCAGCTTGGCGTCAAGGAACTTCAGTCGTGTTTGCTTCGTGCTGAGGCCTGAAATTGATATTTGGGTTCAGCTGTGTGTTCTTTGTTGATTATATCCCTATTGATGGAGTACTTGTACCTGGTTTCCTAGAGAGATGATTTGGGATCAGCTGAAGTGTTATCTAAGTAACCCCTTGCTCACGTGTCAAGCTTTTTCTCAGCTCCACTGATTTATATAATCGCGACTGTATGTGAAATAGCAAAGGCAGTGACTCGTAGACATTTAGACTGGTGACGATTGTGCGATCCTTGTATATCCCTCGGAAACTGCTCGGCTGCACCATAAACCCGTTACAGGTGTATCTTTAGGGTCCGTTTAATTAGGTGAGACGTATGATCAACAGTGTACGAAATATCAATGTTAGTATTACTTTTCGATACTGTAATTTATACTCTGCGTTTATCGTTCTCACTGATTTACTTTTTCACCGGCGCCATCAAAGCAGTTATTTGATCGCATTACAGCTATGAACGAATCATTTTTCTGTGAAAATACATCCGAGTTGCAAACCTGTCTAGTTCTGTGGGCTGAATTAAGGGTGAACGCACGTTTGTATTGTGTTGCATAGAAACCCGTAGAATTCAGGCACTGTGCATTCAGTGTATGTGTCGGCATACAGGGAGACAGTTTAGGTTTAGATGCCCAAAATGTGCTTTATCCAAACCGTGCTAAAGAAAAACTAGAGTAACGCTGCGCTTAAGCTGTTCAAGTTGAGAGGGCGGATGCTTTAGAATGAACTTCAGCTGCTAGACACAATGTGGGGGGCCGAGGGAGTCCTGTCTGATTACAAGGACTCAGCGATAATACCTCCGTATAACCCGCAGTTAGCCTGCTATGCAAAACAGGCAAGGTATTTTGGCTTGCGCAGCCGACTCTCCTCCAGCATTCTAGAGCATAGCCTTCTTGAAGATTAATATGGATTTCAAAACTGTCGAATTACGATTAGCTTATTTTTCGCCACAAGACAGATTGGGGAGAAAGTTTGTGAGCGGAATCAACCGTTCTATGGGCTGCTTATCGGCTTCATCGACTTTTGAATCGCTGTGCAGAATATTTTCTGTGTTAACAAGTTTTTCAACCTCATCAAGGCCTTTCGCACATGGTGTGCTGATCTGCGCAAATACATTGAGCAAGTTCGTAATCGACGTGTTCTTGTCCCAGCCCTGTTCAGGCTACATTTGAAAACCATCGGTGCAGAGGGCGATGAAACAATTCAATACCCTGTGGATGTCTGTTTGCCTAACTCGATGGGCTTTCTGCGCGAATCGAATGTCTCTATGCTGCTGTCTGCGAACGACTGAGCCCTGCTTTCCCAATCAGGAACAGGATTACAGCCGCTGACTACGGTGTTTGTTTCCGCGACGTATAGAGGGTCCAAAGTTCAGTCGTTGAAATATTCACCTAAATCGCCGCGAGATAGCCTGCTATGCAGATTTCTATCACGTTGGTAGCCTACTATTTACAGATGAGACACTTTAAAGTGAGATAAATGCTTAATTTGCAATGACCAGCACACCATTTGATGGTTTTGGCAATTGGGTAATCGCTGCTTGCGAATAGATACCAAGAGTTTAGTGCGTCGGAGTGTTTTGGTGACTTGGACGATATGTTCAACTTTTCAGTCAATTTCGTTTCGTGTCAACTTGAAATCTTTCGTACCAAATGGACAGACCAAACACCGAAGACCATGTATCCATTACCCATGGGATTGAATGTATCCTGATGCGAATCCAGCTCCGCTTGTTAGGTCAACCGTAACTAGTGGCATTTTAGAGAGCCTCACCCTCCCTAGTTCCTTGGTAGGGTTGATCTTGCGGGTCACCATAGTATTTCACCAGTTCACCCGCCAGACTTAACCACCTGGAGCCGGTATGTTCGTTCCATTTTCCAATGGGTGCCTACTTGACACTGTCATTGGAGAATGATAACGTAAGTAGCCGTGTGGTTAATGGAATAGTGTCAGGTTCTCCGTTACCACGCTGACAGTGCGCTAAGGCTAACGCCTCAATGGGTGCCTACTTGACACTGTCATTGGGGAATGAAAACGTAAGTAGCCGTGTGGTTAATGAAATAGTGCCAGGTTCTCCGTTACCACGTTGACAGTGCGCTAAGGCTAACGCCCGGTTGACGCTATACAGGGGAGGGGTGGTATTACTCTGTGAGTAAAAGGGATCCACGGGTAACACAGGTACCCCTGTAGCAGCTGATGGCAATACCCATCGTTATGCCATAATGTTCGGGTCAGCTAATAATCCGTAACAAGCCTGTGAACGTCCACACTGATGTCTTTCCCTCGAGTCCACACTGGTGCCAAGCTCTTACAGACAGCATTACATTCGGATCATCGCAGCCCTTCTATGTCTCACCAAGTACGTGATGGTACCAGTGGTCTGGATGGATGTTCATCTTCCCCGAGAGAATTGTAGTCATTGGTAAAGGTTTGACATCACAAACGCTTTTTCAATGGCCGAAGAAACCGTGTTGGCATTGGCGCAGTGGTGATAAAGTCTCACGGCAAATGCGTTACCTAGCCCCTAGCTGTTTGCAAGGGTCGTTACGCAGTTATTTCGAGGTTTTCAGGATAGCTCTTGAAAATGTGTTAGTTCATGTATTGGTTTCTGGATAAGGTACTGCATACTTGAGTTTTTTCGTTTTGTACACAGTACAGAAAGTACTTCACAGCACTTCCCTTTACTCTTCATCTTTGGCTATTTTGCTGCGTGCCGTGCATGAACAGATGCTAAACGTACAGTGGTTACGGAAGAAGTTACCTCACCAGAAGGGAAGCGTTACACCGTGCACCGGGAGGTCATTGAAACCACAGAACCCGATGGTCATGTAAGTCCAACATGGTTTGTCCTTTACTATTGGCCACGTTCGAGTTACATCAGAGCGAAATGACTGCTACTCACCTGGTGTTCAGTCGAAGTTTCCGTTGATCGCTCGTGTGGATGTAACGTAGCATGTTCCAATTATTGATTTACTTGTAGTCGTACTTCTTCGTAAGTTGTATGGAGGGTTGAAGAAAATGTAAAAACATGCGCATGAGGGGGAAGACTGAGTACGACTGATGTGACCACGCGCACCCAGTGAGACTTGTGCGACACAAAATCGAGAGTAAGCTGCTAGCGAGCTTTGTTCAGTCTTTCGGTTTTTCTTATTTCTGAGTGAGGTTATTTAATTTGTCCCCTGGCTCCGCAGTTCAAAAAACGTTCACTTAAATTGCATTGTTTTTTTCTCGTTCTTTTGTGCGAATGTTGTCTGGAGGCTAATCTGACTGTGGTAGCCCTACCACAAGTTGACTCGGAAATAAGCTTGCGAAATGCACTTTTAACTGGTAACTTTTCATCACAGATCAACGGAACTGTTGTCAGATAACACTCAGACCATTCTCCGTTAGTGGGACCACGTGTTCCATCTTATAAAAGATGGTACATAAGGCTATCCTCTTAATTACTTAGTCCCTGCATTTCTTTATTATGCGGGAGATATTTACAACTAAGTTCATTTTGTCGGGCACATACAAAATACCAGCTGATCAAACATGTACTTCGTTTGAACGATACCTTTGCGGGTCTACGGAGTGCCTTTTATTCAACGGGTTGTCCTTCACTTTAATGATTTTAGGCTTTCTAATTTATTTTTATGCTGGGAACAGACTGATCTTTCTTGCTAGCTTGCAGTGCTTTGCACCAGCTAATCCTTATGTTGCTACACCTTAAAGAGACCCATGTCACTAAACGGCATTTTCGAAGAAATTCCGTGAGTCTTCGTTTTTTTACAGCCTACCGTTTTTTTACACGTTCATGTTGTATGTTGCCCCGAAGACCTCGTGTTGAGCGGTTGTTTGACGTGGTTTGTTTTATAGGTCAGAAGGTGTGTCAACGAGACGTTCCAGGATTCGCCCGATCAGGCTACTGCCGGTGATAAACATGGTGCAGGTGTAAGTTTTCCGGGGCCCTGATTTATTTCCTCGGATTTAGACCATGGTTTATATTCCTTTATGAACAGTCCTAGGCTCCGAAGCTAATGCGAATATAGTGTATGCAAAGCATCCTATCGTTCCTCGTTCAACTTTTATTTTCTATTATGTGTACTCAGTTTTGACTCGTAAAAAGCTGTGATTATCTTTTGGTCTTCGGATTATTCCTCTGCTCGCCCGTCTTTATACTTCACCCCTGTGACTCTGCTGTCGCCTACTTCTTGGGTTGTGCGTGAATGTACTCAGCACTCAATTCAGCCTAGCTTTAAGCCGTTTGGTCGGTTGATCCGCCACAGCCTCCGATTTGGTGTACGGGGCGACCGGAGTTTGTTTTGGTACTTTCATCTTTACTACTCCAAAAAAGAGAACCACCTGTTTCAAAAATGGTGAAACGTGTCCAGTTTCGATATTTAGATGTTGGGATCTACAAGGTTGGATTGTCAGCCTTGGTTGTGCTATGTGCTTATGGTACACATTCCTGATACTTACAGATGAGCTTAGCAACCAACGAACAGTCCCGTGGTCTGTGTGTTGTGCCGACTCTTGAAATGTGCCTTGTAATATGAATCAATGCTTCTTAGTTTGGCTAATACAATCAAAGGTACGCTCGGCTCTCAGTCACGTGGCCCGCTTTCTCTGTTAATTCAGTTATAGGGACACAATTCCTTAGATGGTCGTAACATGTATAGGGGAGTGATTCTGTCCCTTCAAGGTAAGGTATAAGTATTTCGGTTTATTCAAAGGTGATTCCATCGAATGCTGATGCAGTAACATTAAGTTGTCAAAGCTAAGCGATAAAAAATTACATCGCCAAAAAAATCAACGAATCGATGTTATTCTTAATCTTTAATTCCTGGAGGTGCAGTTACATCTTATACCACCATTACTGAGCGCCAATGAGCTAAATAACACAACCCTGCCGACAACAACGGCTGGTTTCCCAGCTCCACAAACCGTAAGTTTCACTCCTTCCCAGTGATGGCTGACTTGAAGTCGTGTGCAGCTGTGTTTTGTTCAAAATACATTTTAAGACGTGTCAAATCGGTCACATTTCGGTGCATTTCTATTGACCTAAACAGCACTGATGAAGTAGACTGGATTATTCGTTCTTCAAATACCGCTCGCAGATGCATGAAGCCAAACAAGTATAATTCGTCCCAAAAGAGGTGTTTCAAGACAAATCATAATCAGCCACCCTCATAACTTCACCTTTAGACAGATTAGAAAGTGGGTCTGCTAATGCAGCCGCGCGACACCTCTTAGATATCTACAAGTCCGGCTAGCTTCATTCGGTGATAAGTTCCGTGAAGTACTTCAGCACACACGGCTACGGTGTGTAAGCAAAACAACAACGTTGCTGTACTCCAGTCGTCGCTACAAACAAAACGGACAGATCGTTGCCGTTTTATCACCACCTATCAACTGGCTTACAGGTGGGCGTTTTTATAGTAAGACAACTTCGTGGCCCGTAAGGCATATGATTGACATCAGTGCTCAGTCGGTTGAATACTGTCTGGTTGGGTCGGGTTGATTTTATTGTGTTTAAGGTTCCGAGTTGTCTTTCGTGACCTGTGATTACTGAGACCTTTTTTGATTCGGCTGAAAATATAGGAAGAACAACGTGTAAGCTTGATTTTGATCATGTACAGCAGTACAGTATGCACTGCTTGTTTGCACAACCAACCCATTGCTTGGATGTGCGGTCGACCATTTAGAAAGGTCAGATACTGATTGTTATCTGCCAGTTTTTTCCATACCCCAAAAGGACCGTAAATCCATCGGAACGTTTTCACATTTGTTTAAGACCGATGGTTGCCATTAGCACAACTCCCGATAGCCAGGAAGATCACATCGGAATTCTCCATGGAAAGGAATCACCTGTTCCAAAACCAACGTACAAATTTATGTAGATATAAAACTGGGAATATTGTGCAGTACAAATCCCCAACTTGTGGAAGCAAAGGCTTTTATTGCTCGACTGCGGCGTTCATTCAGACCTTATTGGTAACAAATGTCATTGAATCAGCAAGCCCTCATTTTCTTACTCTAGTTTCCTACAACTTTTTGCGGTGCGGTTTCTTTGTCCTTTTCGACTCGTTGCACTATTTGCACATCATTACCGAAATTCCATAGCGGATACCGTCCTAATTGTCTGTGAATGAAACAGATGTCAACCTGCATAGTTTTACTCTCCTTACTTATTTGTTTGTCTGCTTATGACGAGCATATATTTGCACAGATGTTTACTGCCACTTTGTCTGAAACTTCTGGGCCACGTCTGAGAGAAATCTTCGAAGAAAAGGAACACAGTTATCGGCTGACATTGTGCTATATCCAGATGGAAAGAGTTTAATTGACTGACGGCTAAGTAAGATCTGAAAGGCTCCATTACGATTTCGTCAACCATTTGGAATCCACTGGCAATGAACCTCCTTGCGGGACAGCTCCTGAGAGCATTTCGGCCATTCATTTCCTACCGGTGGGCTTATGTATCCAGCTTTGTGGTCTTTGCAATCGTTTGCGTTCAGAATCTGTTTGTCAGTCTGGTTCTCAGATTTGAACCAAATGGGTTACACTACCAACGTTTTTAGGAGCGTTACTCAACGCAGTTTTCGAATAGCTTGCTTTTATCGATAAATAACCGGTGAATTATTGATGCATTTTCTGATCCAATAGGTTCTCAAGTCGGCGATCTTAATGTTTGCGCGCTAATGGTGAATGTTTCATACAATTCATACTTTGCGATTGATCGAAAAAGCTTAATAACAACCAAACATAGTGTGACGGAGGTTGAAAATAGTCGAATTACGTAACAACTCGGGGATGATGGGATATTAGAGTATCTGGACAAACAATTGTCAATCTGATTAATGGTGTATAATAGTCAGTAACGTCGAACAGCGCTGAGGATGAAACTCACCGGGTCTAATTGCAGATCCGCAGCACCGTGCCGTTTCCGGTAGACATTGTGCGCTCGAGTCACTGCATCAGCGAAATTTTCTTCGTGGGCTGCTTCGGACTGTTAAGATGAGACAATCACAATAGGGGGGGAACTTTTACAGCTGTGAACCAACCAATGATTCGATCAATGGTGGTCGTTGGCTTGTTCGCTGAGCTGGGCAATTTGATTGCAAACGTTTCATCACCAATCGAGGTGACATCATTAGTGCGTTATTGTGGAGCGCAGTAGTGCGTAGCGGTGGGTTGGTGGTTGTGCACAACCACCAACCACCACGGCACTGATGATGTCACCTCGATTGGTGATGAAACGTTTGCAATCAAATTGCCCAGCTCAGCGAACAAGCCAACGACCACCATTGATCGAATCATTGGTTGGTTCACAGCTGTAAAAGTTCCCCCCCTATTGTGATTGTCTCATCTTAACAGTCCGAAGCAGCCCACGAAGAAAATTTCGCTGATGCAGTGACTCGAGCGCACAATGTCTACCGGAAACGGCACGGTGCTGCGGATCTGCAATTAGACCCGGTGAGTTTCATCCTCAGCGCTGTTCGACGTTACTGACTATTATACACCATTAATCAGATTGACAATTGTTTGTCCAGATACTCTAATATCCCATCATCCCCGAGTTGTTACGTAATTCGACTATTTTCAACCTCCGTCACACTATGTTTGGTTGTTATTAAGCTTTTTCGCTTTCACGGCCAGAAATCTTTTTCTTCAACCTGAACTTAGATGATCTAAACGCTATGTACTAACCAGCTTTTGAGGCAAATTCTCCTATATTCCGGTGCACTTTCGGTTTTCTGAGTGTCTGACTGTACACAAGGAACGAGTTGCATTCATTTAAGACCATGCCGAAGGGTGTCGGGTATCGAAAAGAACGCTTATTTGCGAAGTAAGTTGGTGTTGACGAGAAGCTCGCATGAATTTTGCCTTGATCTCTAGTTATCACAATATACGTGCGATTCACCCTTCCATTAGGAAATAAGATTGTTGGGAGTTTAGCGGCTGAGTCTACCCCATAGGCCTCGAGAACAGTGAAACCGGTTGGCTGTTGATAGCTTCCATCGACTTCGCGGATAATTTTGGATTGTTGCCTCATTTATGTCACCAACATGCTCCCGATGCTTACATGCCATCGTATAAGGACAGGGTCCTTGATCTCCACAGTAAATAAGCCGGCCTTGCCGTTCCCCCAAGCCCTTCAGCTATGGTTGGAGGCTTTGCATGTTGCAAATTTCATACTGTTGAGCTTTTGGACGCCGGATTATTCATTATAAGGTCTTGTGAAGTTATTTGGATGGGAAAGCGTGTAAGTAAAGACTCACAGACGAACGAAAGTTGTGACCATAACTATCCAATAAACTAACGAGTTTCTGTCAATGTAAACACATTTGCCAATTAAATGGGATCTATATCTTGACCAAATCCCAGTGAATCCTTCGTTTGTGATACACTCCAACTGAATGTACTTCAAAAAGCCGCCTCATATTTCAGTCCGTACGACTTTCGATGTATTGAAGTATATATTTTGACGCAACACACTACTTTAAGGTTGTCGGTTGAAACGTAGGTTGTCTCGATTTAAATATACCCTCAAAGTGCACCGGCTATTGTCACTCTATTAGTGTGTGACAGTTAAGACCCGATAAGTTTTAGTCGAACCAGTGAGGGAAGTTTGTGTTATTAGACGATCGGTTTTCCAACATTCGGACTGGAATTTACTATTGTCGCTTTTTGTCAACCTGTCTTGAATGCTATCTAGGAGATTAGTCATATGGCACAGGACTGGGCTGAACAGTTGGTAAATCGAGCCCACTTGTCGAACAGCGGGTTCACCTATCAAGGAGTACGTCTTGGAGAAAACGTCCTCTGTCGTTGGTCGAACACGACTGCCACCGTTTCCGGTACGTCCCTATTTCCTTTGGTCATGCCGTTCACCAGGTCTTTGGTGCCCTGCATTTATTCACGAGAAAGCTCACCTGCCTCATTCTCGCTGGCTCGAAAACCTGCCGATCGCCGTTTACACACGCAGTATTGTCAGTGACGTGCTAACGCACTCCTCATTGTTCTCAAAAATGACACCGACCTGAGCATCAGGTCAGTAGCTGGGCTTTTGTGGAACGGATTGCCAGCTGGTGCTGATGTGAACATCAAGCCACGCGGCCGTAAACTGTATTACGCAAGCAACATGTTTTTGCTGTGCTTTGAGATTCAGTTTACGAACCGAATTAGGGCTACACCACCTGAATCAGCTGGTGGGTACCATTAGCTGACCTTGATGATAAGGAAATACCTGTTTGAGACCCATGGATCAGAGCTAGTGTCTAGGTTCCATCATGAAGATTTTGGTCTTACTAGATGGTGGGTACCATTAGCTGACCTTGATGATGAGGAAATACCTGTTTGAGACCTATGGATCAGAGCTAGTGTCTAGCTTCCATCATGAAGATTTTGGTCTTACTAGGTTCGAAATATGCCCCATAAGGATGCACTAGCCAGATGGTGCTTCCCGGCTTTTCAGAATGGGTTGACGTATTTCTCAACAATGATTGCTCAGTACCCTGGAACGAACGGAACGGACTTGAATGTCAGTCAGCCGAAACCTGCTTATTAATCGACCAGTCAAATCATAGGCCCACTGCTTGATGCTTACAGGGCAGTTCACATAGAACTGCAGTGGTTAGTCTTAAAATCGGAGAGGACCGATAATATCTGAGGTGCTTCCCATGTTGAGGCTACCTATGGTGGTGTTAGTTGGTTTCGTTCATGCCCTACCCAGATGGTGAGACCTGACAGTGGTGGAATCCACCAGAGACTGACAATCGACAGAGCATCAATACTGGCGGTGTGATACTGACTACCAATAGATAGTCTAATGTAGTTGTGGCTGTACGGGGGGGCTTGGCACATCTATGGTTGTTTTCTCTATGTAGTCTTAGTCTGAAACGTGAAATCCGTGAAAATAACATTCCCTGTGTCTTGTGAGATTGCAGAAAAGATTTCGATCTGGAGACTAATGCCCCACATTTTTCAAAACAATATTTTCACTTTTAGCCCAAGATGTCGTTGATCACTGGTATCAAGAAAGTTCCAAGTACAACTTTAATTCGGAACCCAAAAGTATTCAAGGCATTGGTGAGTCTTAGCGAATTTTCCTCATCTGTCGGAAACAAAAGTATTGTTCTCTATGACGAAGGGTCCCTTAAACAGGTTCAGAAGAACCGATAGAATCTGAATATTTTAACGGTCCTATTCAGCTCCTTCGATTTTGTGACCTACATTCCGACGCCATCAGAGCAGTGCTTGGAATTTGAACAAATCAATTCCACCGTTATTTTAATACACTATTGTAGCGAGGTGTTACTTCCAGTGCAATACAGCAGGAAAAGTTGCTAGAACCACTTTCTGCCTTCGCTTTTCATTGCGTTCTACTCTAGTACTCTTTGCAGCCTTACATTTTGGGCACGACCAACTGAATCTTACCCAAAGCTATCCAGTATGGGTACGAGAACAAACTTCCGCTCTGTGAGGTTTTTCCCAGCCATAGAAAGATACATAATTGAGCGAGTGGACAAGATCGTTAATCGGCCACTCGGGTTCGAAACACAAATAGACGTCCTGTGCAGCTTCGCTCATCGCTTGACAATGAGTGGTGCTTCCTTTAAACCATTTCAGAACTTGTTTTGGGTCCGGACGGTTACCCCGGCAACCGTCCGCATCTACACTATCACTCGCTTTTCATTTCACATTTTGCGAGATGATAAATTTGGGCTTAAAAATACCTAGCTGAAATCATTTGTCCGAACTGCACAATTATTCCCCCAGTGTTGGGAGAATTTCCTTCTACATAATCCTCCGCCCAGTATCGTGTGCGAACTGTTTTTAAAGTCACTTTTTTTCTCATTTTCTCCTCCCCCGCTCGACTGTTCACCCAATTTAATAGCTGACCGAACTAATTCCAATCTCAAATTTGCTGCTTACAGCAATCTGAAGTTAGCATGAAGTACGAGACGTTATCAACGTTACTTCAGCGACCCGATCAATAAAAGACCCGGGGGTGGGTTTGAAATACGCAGTGCGGATGGATTCAATCAGTGATGCGATCACCAATGGTGTTCGTGCTGTGAGTGGTACTGATCCACGGGATTCACAACTAGCGAACTTTTTAAGGTTCAAGGTCCCACTCGTGGGACTATTTCAAGTGAAAACCGGAGCAGTGGGATGATATGCTCGAATCGTGCTATATAATTGACGGAATCCTTGTTACTTCCCATAGATATTTTCCTTCTAGACTGTCCTGCGTATAATTACAAGCACGTACCCTTTTATAAACCTGTGAGCACCATATGATGCATATAAACAGCTCAAGTTCCAAATAGGTGAGCACCATATGATGCATATAAACAGCTGGCACAAGTTCCAAATACCGTGGACAGATTTGTGTTCAAAAGCCAGAGTTTATTAAGGTGACATGTGGAAACAGTATTTCAACCACTACTAACAACTTATTTCGCTTATCCTGAATTATTTGCTCTGGTATTTGCATTTAGCCTGCCGGATTCAATAGCGCTTCACACACTCTCAGTATGCAACATGTTTAACGGGGTTTGTCGCTGGCAAGTGGAGATCGATAACACATTCGGTGAACAGTTATTTTGGGTTATAGGGGTTAAAATTTCGAATGTCCTGGGTAGAATGAGAACGATAAAAAAATCACGAAAAAATGGTGACCTTTGTGGTTTTTCTTACACCGAATGTGCGATATTTTCCTAACATCCACAACATTTTAGTGTCATATAATCGTTCAGCTGTAGCACCCTTTCGGTGCCTAGCTGTCACGCCACACGAAGGAGGCACGAGGGCTGGGATACTGCCAAGTTACCCAAGCCTAGACAGAGGAAGTCGAGTGGCAGATGTCGGGTTCGAATCACGGGCCTTCCGGAAGGTAAATTCGCGCTCTAACCACTTGGTGCATCTCGCCCCCCCCCCCCCCTAGTGTCATATGGGTGCCAAAAAATGCATAATTTCAGTGATGTAGCTAAACGCACCGAGTGGATAGAGTAGGCCTTGCCCACTGAATTGGACAACCACTGTAAACGAATTCATTCGAATCCGCTCAGAAGGCTGAAATATCCAGTCATTGCGGTCTGTTCCCTAAAGTTATGTGTAAATTTCATCTTTTGTATCAGGCGGATTCACCCAGATGGTATGGAGCGGATCACAACGCATCGGGGTCGGGATCGCTTCACAGCCAAAGAAAGATTTTTACAACCAGCCCAGCCAATCAAAAGTCATTGTTGTCTGCTTCTATTATCCGCCCGGGAACGTCACCGGACAGTTCAGGGCAAATGTGAAGCAAGGAATGAACTAGTTGATATCGTCCACTCCTGTCAAATATTGTCATCAGTTCAGCATAAAGGCCGACTTTTCGTCCATAATTTGACGACCTTTGGTGAAATATGAATATCGCACACCAACGCTTACGGACATACACGCAGCGCTGACTTGATTCGCTTTGCTTCCAGACACTTCTTACAAGTTAATTATCTTTTTGCACTTTACGTTTCCGGCAAATTAGCTTACTTATTTGGTTCGCTTTTATGCCCACAGAATACACTATTTCAGCGAACCCCATCTTCTTGTTGTTGACTCCGATGGTGGACTGGAATCTGTTGAGAATGGTGGTAGACTGGATCCAAAAGACAAGGTAGGCAGACAAACTCACCTCTCTTGTGTGCACAAGGGCTTAGCCCTTGTCCACTTTATCACTGTTACAGTTTTGCTGTTACCTCTGAGGCATTTATTAGACTACCCAGGTGAGACCATGCATAACTGCACTTAACACGGATCGCGGGAATTCGCAATACAAAGGACGGGTATTTTCTTGAAGTCATTCCAACAGCTAACCTATAAGTCAATGTGCAACAAAACGCCCAGTCTCAATTCACATACCATGTAGGCTGTTTCCCACGTATGTCTACAAACCTTTGAAGGCAAAAATTACGTCTCGCCCAAGGGCTTCCGCAAGTACAGCAGCCATCGCGCACCGCAGTACCTAGGTATCCATATTGAAAAGCGATATCAGCTAGCACCAGTCTATAGATAGTATTGCTCACAAACAAAATCATTCGACAGCCCGAATATCGGATCAGCTAAAGCCTGGGCTAACATCTGATCGAAGGATTTTACAACCAAGAAAATCGGTTGAAGCCGGTCGGAATTTCTCGTTTACACCAGCCGAGTTTGAGTAGATGGCACTAGCGGTTATGACTGCAGGGGCAGGGGAAAACGCATTTCTCACCAACTTGAACGTGTCAAGGTCGTATTCATCTCAAATTTACGCGGCCAATAACCTGTACGAACGCATGCACAACGGGCACCGGATCAGGACTGCAATTTGGACCAATTGAATCTCCAACCTAACTCAGCTTTTTCCGCTAACGTGCCGAGCGACGAATCCCATCCATCTAAATAGAATAATGCACCCAATTCTTCCCTTCAGTGGACCGCTCTGACGAAAACAGAACGACTCTCCTGTAGTTTTCGTTCAAACTGGATTCACATACAATACTGACGGAGTCTGTAATCGATAGTAAGGTAGCTGTATTCACTTCATGCTATTAAATTCGTCTGTCTGGTTGATGTACGTGCGTAAGTTCGCTATACCTCCCGCCACTACCACGATCTCTAACGGTTCTATGTAAGATACCATGACCAACTTCCGCTAAATTGACAGCAAAAACCATAAACTTTATATTGATTCGAAGGTGTTTGATATTGTGGGTTGTGTTTCGGAAGGTGTTTTGTTCGTTGGGTATCCTACAGTAGAACGCTACCTAAAAATCACCTCTCCAAGACTTATTAATTTTTCACGTTTGTCTACTACTCCCAGAAGAGACCCGCAAGCCCGAAGGCGACAGATACGAGTGTTGTGATTACTACCGCGATATAAATCTGAAATGCCAATGTTCTTTTGGGAAAAAGTAGCAGTGTACTCGCGTTACTGTCAGTGGGAGAATTGAAGCAATTAATACATCCCAGTGGGTCACATCGACTATACTAACTTGGTTTATTTCTCGTAGTCCAAGGAATTGAACAATCCACCAAATTTTGCACACCGGGTACATTTGTGGTGGATGGAACCAATGTTTCAGAGACATGAATTCGAAGCAGGTAACAGAGATTAACTTCACCGACACCAGCTTCGAGTAGACAATATACCACCATCTAGAAGACGCACTGCTTCAAAGTAATACAAAACACAACAAACTCGTCTTCCACGCGTACGAATCGTGGAAAACGTCAAACCGCGGAGCTATCAATCAGGTTTCCCACAGCAAATAACACATGAGCCTCGGTGCGCATGTGCGCCAGAATCCAAAGAAATTTTGAATGACTACTTTTGGGGACAAAGTAGGTCGTACGTACTGTTCATTCGGTGTAACAGTCAGGTGAAATGAGAGGTAAACAGCAGCTGCTGAGCCAATGGTAAAAAAAACGATTACTGTACAATATATTGCTTAAGATGAATCATACATTTTTCGTCCGTTTGGTCAGTCGCTCCACATCCTTGTCGCGTAACACAGCAGCTGATTTAGTGATCGGTCGAATAATCCGTCCAGCCTGGACGGTGATTTTGGGACGTGTGAATTCACGATGTGTGCACTCTGTGACCCACTCTCGGGAGATAGGCTGCGCGATAACTGATTCAAATTGTTCCGGTGTATTGTACGGAAATGGGATGGACTTCACCTAGAAAAGGAATAATGCAAGGTGGATGTCAATTATGTCCGATGGAAAAGGTATCAGTTATCTTGGTCGACCGAATGAAATCTTATTTGTCGTGCTTTGACACGCAGTTCCGACTGATACATTAATTCGGATGTTTTATACATACCGCACCCCATTCTTTTTTCCCTTCAGCTTTCCAAAAAAATAAGTTGGAAGGCCCGAAAATGACGGATATGATTGTCTTCTGACTTGTCTCAAAAGCTGTCATCAAATTAAAATATAGCCATTGACTGCGGCAATCCGTCGAATAGAGACCAAGCACAATCTACAGCAACCAGCATTGCTGAATAAATGAAGGAGTGTTAGTTCATTCAAGTTGTGTGATTTTGCGTCCTTCTGAGCGACGGAGATCACAGAAATGGTTATTTTACTTTCACGACAGGGGTCTTCTCCTGATGGTGAGAAGATTGGCGTCAATCTTGAAAGGGGAACCAATGATACTGCTGCCCATAGATCGGTTAAAGAGAGACTGGCCGCAAAACACACAACCGTCTAGGTCCAAACGCAACGAATCTTTGATATCAAACAGCGGGAAACAAACTAGCTTTATGCGTATCTTAAATAATCACCTTCCACTATCACTATTTTAAGTGAAACCCTATTTGCATTTCGCGGTATTCCAGCCTCCATGGTTCCAAGTTACGCAAAGCAACACCGCTGAGGAGTTAGCGATAACAAAACTGTATTGGTGCGATGCTTTCGTTGGACGTCAAAGCTTCTGTGGTTAGCTAGCCGCAAGCAAGAGTTGGCCACTTGTTTCTTACTAAGTTCAAAATGTGAAAATGCTGCACACACGATGGATCAGATATGCCCAGTATTTTTCCTCGCAACGACAGTCGCAATAGTCCGTAAGATCACCCCGATTGGATCGTGCTAACAACCTGTCAACCATCAATATGATGTGATCATGATAATACACGTTCACCTTGTCTGGTTAACCTACAGAAGTCAACAAACAAACGCGAGATACCATGCTCGTGTTTAAACTTGGATTAGCCACAGGATCATGACACTTGAGCAGTACACGCCCAAACTAATGAAGCATGCGACCTTCGCCTCACTGAAAAAAGCTCATTTAATACGCATGGTTCAGGTGGACGGGAAGCAGTTTGGCAAATAGGCTAGCTAATTGTACACCACCTTGTCTGGTTAACCTACAGAAGTCAACGAACAAACGCGTGATACCATGCTCGTGTTTAAACAGCCCAAGGCAGAACTTACAGTTCAGCCAATCATGTACACTATCGTGGCATCCTCACCAGAGGTCACTCCATTCCTCCATATAAACCGTCACAAGCATTAGCAGAGACGCAAGCAGCGATACGGTACGGCGTCATACATACCGACAATAAAATCTCAGTCACAGTCATTTAGTACTAACTTCTCTGGTCCAAGGCGTGCTAACAGCATATCGATTAGTAACATGACTATGTTGACAAGTCGCTTAGTGGGCCTTAACGATGATGAAATTCAGTTTGATTACCTTCATCAGGCATAACACATACATTGTCACCGTCTAAACATACATAATGACTTGAGGATTTACCGATTAACCCGTTCATACAGACTGCCAAGTCACAGATGAGTGCTCACTGTTTGCAGCAGTGCCTCTAGGATGAGCATACCCCCTGATAACTCGTAATCGGTCAGCAAATCCGCGAGAAATCGCCCTACAACAAACAATAACGGATTAACTGAAACCGTTTGCTTCACGTGGAAGTTTATCTTGAGGGAAGAGGAGAATACTGCAATACAGCATTGAATGCGTGTTGTGGCTGGCCCGGCCATCATATAATCATCAGGTATACAACTATTTTCATCAACTCTTACTTTGTCAGATCTTCCAGACTGAGAAAGTAAACATGGATAGGTAGTATCGGAGGCAAAAATGGAGACTATTCGTAGTTAAGACGCACCGATCCGAGTTGTTGACACGATTTAGGGGTTTCAGCCCGATTACTACCAAGCGTTATAAGTAGGTAGCAGTTACTGATGTTCTAATGCAGGCCACAACCACAGTACTTCGGGGCCGAAAAGTCCTGAAAACCAAGGATCATCCTGGATAGCATTCTGACTTTAGATTACATGGTTTTTACAGATGTCATCATCATCATCGACAACGTGACATCAGTGTTCACACCGATGCTTCACTACCGTACACGGATGTCACTTATCCGGAACTTGTCTCCGACAAGCTAAGCAGAAATGAACCTACTCCGAGTTCAGACAAAAAAGCGTGCCGAGAACGAAAGGGAACGAAAAGGAACTTCAAAGGGAATTAAAACTCTTCCCATATCAATGTATCAGGTGGTGCAACAAATGTGAATGACATCAATTCTTATCATTGTACGCGGGCTTTCCTTTAGGCTTTCCTTTAGACTTAACTTGGGCGCCAAGAAGCAAAGACCACACTTCACGCTAGTAACTTTGATGGTAAGCTTGCCTGGGGACGAGATGGCTCAGTGGTTAGAGTGCGGATTTACTAATGGGAAGGTCCGTGACTGGAACCCAACCTCTGCCTCTCGACTTCCCCTGTCTAGGCTTGGGCAACCTGACAGTATCCAAGCCCTCGTGTCTCCTTCGGGTGGCAAGGCAGTTAGGCATCGAAAGGATGCTAAAACTGAACAATAGGCTGCCTCATGCCAACAGGTACATTAACAGTTAAAATGGGTTCCGTTTTTTGTCACGTCAACGAGAAGCTGATCTAGAATTAGACTTCAATGTTCATAATAGACTATTTCCCGGGTGTGATACGACCTAAAAGAGAATCCCTAACAAACAAGTATTTATGGTGGATAGGTGGGTGACTAACCGAAAAAGCACAGTGCTAAGATTGAGGTAGCTCTTCCTGTCTATCTTTCGATCCAATTATGATGGGTGCTCGTTCGTGCACTCCAACGCTCATGATGCTTCTGGTGCACATTATAATAATCACTTCGCGTTAACAAAGAGGGTAAAGGTAGTGTATGGGATCGAATGGTCAGTCAGCTCATGACCTGTGAGTGGTTGACAAAGTCACCCAGTAGGTAGGAGTCATGAATTATGAGAACCTCTATCGACAGGAAGGCGTATAGAAAGCTGACAGAAATCGCCTATTGTGGAACTCACTGTGGGATAGCCCCCTTGGAAGTTCATTTTTAAGGTTTCTATCTGAAACTACAAAACCAGCATGTACTCGATTCAGCAAGGGCTGTGACCTCCTTCAGTTTTGACTCAAGGCACAGTGACTATCTGGTTATCCCACCAGCCAGTCCCTTAAAATCTTTGATTTCAAAAATTTTGGACGAAAACGAAAAGCGTTGCATTCCAAAGCAGTCTTCCTCTGTAAAAAGGACTGTCCAGAGCAAAAACTGCCTCGTTCACCGACGCAAACCAAATAAACAAACTCGTTCAAAGGTTACTAAACAGCGTGGAAACGGATAACGATGTAAAACTTGGATTAGTCACAGGATCATGACACTTGAGCAGTACACGCCCAAACTAATGAAGCATGCGACCTTCGCCTCACTGAAAAAAGCTCATTTAATACGCATGGTTCAGGTGGACGGGAAGCAGTTTGGCAAATAGGCTAGCTAATTGTACACCGAATGCTATGGCAAAGGAACGGAATGGAGCGGACTTACAAGATGTTGTCTAAATTCGTTATTCACACGCCGTCTGATCAACACATGAGGTAAGTCTGTATCCTGACGTTTGACTTTTGGTGCCGGAATTATCCTTTTCTTACGACGAACTTCGTCTTGAGCTTCTAACCCAGGACCAGTCCATGCGTTCCAACCTGGCAGAAACGTATCGATATCTTTGGGGGTTTCTTCGTCTATAGCTTTCTCTTTCTCTTCCTGGAACTGTTGCTGAAGGCTGGGGTCTGTTGCGCAGGTTTCTTCAAGCGCACGGAAGAACATGTCCGAATCTGGGTCGAAAACGTCCGCTTCTGTGTCTGCAGATTGAACTTCTGGATTTGCTCCGGTGGTAATAGTAGACCTTGTAGATTGGTCCAGAACAGCGTCTGCAGCAAGCGTCGACAAGACTGTGGGACGGTGCTGCTTAACGGGCTTCGATTTCTCATTTTCCGGAACCTGAATTACGAAAGGTAGCATCAAACGATACACGGGAATAAAACTATGAGCTGCATCGATCCTACATGAGGTCTAAATGTCAAGAGTGGGGCCTCGAAAAAAGATATGTGTTTTGGGTTGCGGAAGTTTACACAGCTTCTTAACATCACGAATCATATGTGGAAATACTTATTTTAAAAAGAAAGCATTCTGAAGCCTTAGCACCATCATTAGACCGAAGTAGGGCATTGAAATACAGGAAAACGAGGAATAGCAACGGGACATGTTACTCCTAAAGTTCTCGAAAACTCCTGATCAGCCCACAACCGGTTTCTCCCTAAGGTTCATCAGATAGGTGCAATCTCCGAGCTTCCACAACCATATGATCTAGTTGGGATCAAATTGCACGCATCTGGGTGAGTACCATCACCTAGAAATTAAGAATATAGTAAACCAGAGATTCAGCTAGGACTCAGTTTAATTGCACGGTAAAGCCAACTTTGCCGGTTCGGGTGATCTTGAACTGCATTTGTTCTGCTTGTTTGGCTTTACGGCTCTTGACCACTGCGCATATGCGGTGGTTCATGCCCAACTTCCTTTCTGTGCCACTCAGTCACCATGATTGTGTACTCTGTGTCCTGTGACTCCACTAAAACCGAATCCTTCAGAATAGCTGTGCATCATCTACAGCTGGTGATAGAGGTATCGTTACTCGCAGGACGCACCATCTTTACTCGCAGTACGAACCACAATACCAGCCTTCAACCGCTTAAGTGTTTTCTTTTTGGACTGACAACACCTGAGCGCGCAGATGTTACTCGATGTTTCCAGGAAGCCCGTCATCCTTGCATTAGAGTATGCCCAGTTGAGGTGGTGATATATCCAAATAGTAGTATCTCGGTGTGCTAATGTGGTAGTAGACAAACTGGCACCTGATCTACAACAGAGAGTTCCGGTGGTGTTAACGCCTGTTAAACAGCAGCGTTTACGACGGCAAAACATCAGAACCGGGTACGAAGAATCAGAAAAGTACCCATTCACAACATCGTGCAGTACAATTCTTATCGTGGCTTGGACAGAGATGGTTAGGAAGTGTGAGGGTAAAAGAGAAAATATCAAGTTTTAGACAAGAACAACACCGGGCTAGACTGTGATACGATTGGCATTTAAGGGGAAAAACTGCTCGTTGGAAGACCAGAGGGACTCACCTGACGCCACCATAGTTTGGAAGACAGAGTGTCCCCAGCCTCATCCTCTGTGGAACCTGACGCATTGAATTCACTTTCGTCCGAGTCCATCTCAGACTCGGAACTGCAGTCAATATCAGAGACCTCACTTTCGGAGGAATCATTCTGCTCCGTGCGTTTTGTGAGCTCTTTCGAACGTTCATACATTTCTGCAACAGCATCTCTTGCCTGTTCGAATTATAAACGTTGTAGACGTAAGCGAAAACAGCCTTACCTCTGTGTCATATTTAGCACGCAGTTTCTGCAATCGTGCGAATTTGCTGCCACCACGATGACGTAGACTGGCACGTTCTTGAGCACGCTTTTTCTCAGCCTCTAAGATACGTTCAGCGAACTTTCGCGGATCCGTATCGCGCAACTTCTCCATTTCTTTCTCGTATTCCTTGAGTAATCGAGCCTTTTGGTGACGATGAAAATTTTTGCTTTTTATTTTGTTTTGTCGTTTGTTTTTTGCCGCCGCTCTTGCTGTCAGGAAACGCTCCTTCTGACGCATCGCTATCTGCTCCAATAGCTTTTTTCGGATTACACGACTCGTTTGATCAGCGTAATCCTCCTTAAAGGAGCTTTAAAACTGAGGATTACAAACAAACATAACTTACACACTGGGAGTATCACCATAGAGAGAAGAGTATAGCTTTCCCTGCAGAGTGTCTGCACGTTTTTTGGACTCCGCAACAAGCAGACATTGTCGCAACTTCTGGGCCTCTTCAGACCCAGCGATCGTTAGAGCCGTATCATTTAACGGAAAGATCAGCTGATCGGCTAGCCTGTTCTTGTGCACAGGACCCTTCCAGAGAGTTAACTCTCTCTTAACACTGCGAAAAGCGATCCGCCTGGCTTTTCTTTCGTCCTCGACTTCATTGATTGGCTCAATGGGTTTGGCAGACTTCTTGATTTCTGTAAGGATCTTCTGTTGCCTTCTTTTCTGGCCCTTTTTTAAGTTGACCAAGCCCCAGACATTAGCACTCTCGACGGCGGGAATATCTGACTGAAGTGGGTGAAAGAATAAAGCCAGTGAATGGTTATGACTTACCTCCATAGGATGCCAGTACTGGGACTTCAATGAATGTTCATATATTTAAATGGGCAGACAAGCTGAAGAAAAAAGGATCGGAATAGCGATTGAATGAAAGGTGGAATGTCACAAATATGGGTGCACGGTACTACTATAAAAAAAATTGCAGAAAAAGGACTGAAGTGGGTGAAAGAATAAAGCCAGTGAATGGTTATGACTTACCTCCATAGGATGCCAGTACTGGGACTTCAATGAATGTTCATATATTTAAATGGGCAGACAAGCTGAAGAAAAAAGGATCGGAATAGCGATTGAATGAAAGGTGGAATGTCACAAATATGGGTGCACGGTACTACTATAAAAAAAATTGGCAGTGGAAAATATCCAGGACATAAAGTCGAAACTGCTTGCCGTATACACTTCAACAAATAAATATGTAACAGCGGTAAACCACCTATGGGCTACAAAGTGGTTCAAGCTGCCATGATTTCATTCACGAATGTAGCGGAAAGTGAGAGGAAATAACTATACGTCGGGGGCAATCGTACTGTTGAATGGTGAGTTACAAATGGCGTCCTTGTGAGTGCGAAGCGAACGTTTCAAGAATGCCGTAATTTGTTGAGCAGCACCAAAAACAGATAAGATGAACGTTAATCTCACGTGAAGAAAGAAAAGACCGCTGTCATCCGTGAGTATGGGGATATTTGATGGGTTATTGAAGGATGAGGGGGTAGTTGATAAGCCCCTAATCTGGACGGAATTTCGCCTGATTCGCACGACTTTGCTGTTTTTGAAAGGTGCTGAATCTTCATACAGCTCGAGATAGCCTGAACTCGATGGCGTGAACTTACTGACCGGAAAGCCCGTCGTTCGAACCCGACCTCTGCATCTCGACTGCTGGTGTCTAGACTTAAACAACCTGATAGCGTATCGGTCCTCATGCCCCTTCGGGTGGAATGGTAGCTGGGCATCGAAAGGATGCTCCAGCAGAACCATTATTATCCTGCTCCATATGGCTGAAGTGGTAAAGCGAGAACCTACTGGCCGGAAAGATCGTGGTTCGAACCCAACCTCGGTATCTCAGTTGCTCTTGTTTAGGCTTCGGCAAATTGGCTGTATCTCGGCCTTCGTGCTTTCTGTAGGTGGTATGACACTTATGCCCCAAAAGGGCGTCACAGCTGAACCATAATTAATTTTTTAAAAACTATTTTTATAGAATGAGGCAATCAAAATCAGAATGATATCCTCATGGTTTCCGTTCTCTGTTTTTGGTAAATCAAGACCACTGGTAACTACCGCTTTTCGGGTACCTTCCACTACTTGCATATACTACATACTTGATATGTAGTTCCACAGATAACCAATGCTGAACGTCGTTGACATGAATGACGAGAAGGAACCTTAATCGAATGACATGTTTCTTTTTTCAAGGTCCGACCTCCACGCAGTCACATGCTACAGTTTCTGCTTACGTCCCAACTGTCTGTAGCTCTGAATCTGCCAAGGACAGTTTCTATGACG